TAATTTTTTTGCTATTTATCAAATTTACATGAAGGGCAGGGTTTTCGAATAACATTAAAAAATTTTCTTTATAACATTACTGCTCTCTTATTATATAATATTTAATTACATCAACAATAAACTACAAATTACATCAACAGTAAAAGCTATTTGCTCTAATATTGAAAACATCTTCTATCAGCTCAAATTATAAGAAAAGTGAAATTTTAACGATTATAGGTTAGCAAATATAAATTAAGTTTATATTTTTAAGATTTTCTACACTTCAGGTTTCTATACTTTGGATAAGGCGTACAACCAGTGCAATATTAATTATTTACTGAATTTATTAAATCGCACACAGACTACTAAACTTGCGTTTCAAAACGGTATTCGCATACCACGTATCATCACCTATTTTCATTCTTCACTTTATGTTGAAAAAGGAAGAAAGCTATTTGTAAAAGAATTGATAATAAACGTTCACATTGTTTATAATAAACAAATTATGTTTGTAAAGTTTGTTAGTTTATTGATTTTTTAATTTTTCTTACAAATGGAACTATTAATAGTTCACTAATTGTAAGAAAAATGAAAAAATTAATAAACTGAAAAACCTCATAAACATAATTTATTCACCGTAAACAAAAATGTTTATTATCAGTTCTTTTGTAAGCTTCCTTCCTTGTTCAACATAAAGTGAATAATAAAAATAGGTGATGAACATATGATATTTCAGTGCTGTTTCAGAACGAAAGCTTAGTAGTCTGCATGCGATTTAATAAATTTATTAAATAACTAGTATAGCGTTGATATGTGTGTATGCTTTATCAAAATTTGTGTAGAAACCTGAAGTGTACGAAATATCACAAATATAAACTTAAATTTATATTTGCTGATCTATAACAATAATCGTCCAATTTCACTTTTTTTATTATAATTTGAGCTGATAGAAGATGTTTGTAACATTTTTTGCGCTAATTGCAATCTGTTTATCAAATATTGACTAAAATGACTTAAAAATTAAAACATCATATTGTAAATGGTAATTCTCCGTTAATTGCAGCCGCTACTTTTGTATTTTTGAAGATTGTCACATGATCACCTTTAATATAATGTACTACACCTTGAGTTACCTTAAATAATTACATACATCATTAAGAAAAACTTTCGTTAAATTTAATTTATTTTATACAAACTATAATAAATTTTTTAAAATACCTTATGCAAACCATAATCCTCTCTCTTCGATCATTGGTATATTAAACGAGGATGTACATTTTACCAATGTTATGGGAGACTTAATAGGCAGCAAAGTAGAAGGATCATATTCTCGGAGAGCGGATAAATGTTTGTAAATTGTTGTACATAGTGTCTTTAAATTTGAAAGTGAGAGATATGTATATACAATTGAGAATTGTTTATAGCGAAAATATCAAATCTTTCATCCCAACTCTCACATTTCTTCAATTCCATTAAAATCTACGAAAATATAAA